AAAGAATGTGGAATATTAAATACTGGAGATTCAAGTACGAATGGATTTCATTGGATTTGTTGGTATAAAGATGGAGAAGAAAAATTAAGTTTTGATTCTTATGCACTACCACCTCCAGTTGAACTTGTTCAATATTTACACAGTCCTGTTTATTATAATAGTAAAAGAATTCAGTTTGGAGACACTTCTTTTTGCGGACACTTGTGCCTTTATGTATTAAAAAAGCTTGATGAAGGTGTTGATTTTCAAAGTATTGAAAACTCATTATATTGAATTAAAAAAATATAGCATATTTAAAATGAGTATGAATATAGCCGGTAGTAATTCATTATATGGTTACACAACAGATGGATTAAATATCAACATTAATGTTGGCAATACAGCCACTACTGATGTTGATTTGAATTCACATAAATTGATCAATGTAGCTGATCCTACAGATGCACAAGATGCAGCTACAAAAAATTATGTTGATAATAATCAAACTTCTAGCAGTGCATGTCTAAAATTAGATGGAACTAATAGTATGAATGCAAATATTAATTTGAATTCAAATAAATTGATTAACGTAGTTGATCCTACTAATGCACAGGATGCAGCTACAAAGAATTATGTTGATACAAAAGATGGATTTGTAATAAACTATATAGAAAGAATAGTTCCTTATCCTCATAAATACAAAGTTCTAATTGTTGCTGGACAATCTAATACATACTACGGTAGAGAATGGGGTAATTCAGACGCTATAACTGCTGTAAATTATATGCATAGAAGAATAGTTCAATTCGGTATGGATAATGGTCAAACTGATTCATTACTTCCTTGTTCTCTAAGACTAGATGTAAATGAATCAGATAGTATGTGCTATGCTGGATATGGTTCAATACTAGCTGGATTAATAATGCAAGATGCTATAGGTTCAAATACATTAAATATGATAAATTCAGATGAATGTTTAATGATACTTCCATGTATGTTAGGTGGAATGGGATTTAGCAATGATTATTTTATGCCTTATGGAACTGGATTTAAAAATTTAACTCGTAGGATTAGGTATATTTTGACCCATTATAATGCTGAATTTTGTGGCGTAACTTGGAGTCAAGGAGAAACAGATTCTGTACCTGGTTGGTGTGATAATTACAGATATATTCTAATGAATTTTATTCAGACCATAAGAGATTATGTAGGGTATTCATCTAATCAATTCGCCACTTTAGCAAACTCACAAGTAAAATCAAATACCATTCCATTCATTACTTTTCAAATGAATCCTACATGGGTTGCAGCTAACTCTGCATTCGCAAGTCCAGTTCAAAATGCGTTAACAAGTATTGGTGATTACATTCCATTTACCTCATGCATAAATATTAATAATCTTCCACCTAACATGAGAATTACAAACGTAGACTCTATACATTACGACTCGCGTCAACAACTATTTTTAGCTCAAAAATTCTATGATGCATTGTTTATAGCTGCAAATAATACAAATGCTAACGGTAATTATATTCCACACAATTACACAGCAGGGGAAACGCTAATGGTTAGACAGATATCATCAGTATCATTTCCAAAAAATTATTATGGAGCATATTATCAGTACAATTCTATTCCATCTACAGGTGCAATATATAGTCAATTATATAATAACTGGAAATATAAAAACAAAGATGGATATTACAAATATCGTCTTAGTTACAACATTAATGGAACATGGAAAAACATTATATTCAAACAAGCATTCCATCCACTGATGTCTATGCATTATCAAAATATTGGACAACTCATATCAACAGATACACCATTTGGTGGTACAAATTTTGGACAAGGATTTTCTGGACTTAATATAACATCTAATAAAACCTATATGCTTTCAGGAGCTGTACTTTCACTTGATACATCTAATAGTTATTTTGCGCCTGTATGTTTAAATAATAGCTTTATAGTCGAATCTATACCTGTTATTCCTGTATATGATAATTACATTGTAAACAATGCAACCACTATAATAACAGCAACTGAGCTAGAATTATATGCTGTACGAGATCCATAAACAAAATCTGACGCATGCGCACTAAAAAAATAATAAAAAATTGAAAATGATTTAAATAATTTTCTTGTGTATATAAAAAAGAATGGAAAGCGAAATGCAAGAATTGCAAAAAGATTATTCATCTTTATTTAACAGTCTTGGAAACAATTGTAAACAACTAGAAAAATATAAAAATCGAATAGAGATACTTAAAAACAAAGAAGAACGTGATATACTCATAAAATATGAATATAAAGTGAAGGGATTTAATATTATATGTGTATGGGATCAACTACTAGAAAAATATGAAAGAAAAATACCTAGAAAAGAAAAAAGAATTGAAAAAGTTAAAAAAGAGCTTGAAAATGTTGAAAATAAAATAAAAGAACTTGAAAATACTATAAATTAATGTAAAGAATTACACATGTAAAAACATATTAATTTAAGTTATTTGAAAATGATTTAAATAATTTTCTTTTATATAAAAAAGAATGAATCAAGAAAATAAAATTGAAGAATTAGAAAAAAAACTTGAAGAGTTATGCTTAAAAATAAAATTAATTGAAAAAAAATTAGATTGTAAAAAAGATAAAAATCCTTATAAACCAGATCCTTAAGCAATGGCGATAGCTTTATGTGAAGCTCAAGAGAAATATACTAGGAGAATTGCTAATAGAAATGTAAATTGCTAATAGAAATTGAAAATTTAAATTCTTTACATAAATTTAAAAAAATGGAATGTACAAGTAAAGATGAAGTTAATAAATTTATGGGTTATAAAAGAAGAATAAGTTTAGCTCGTTATTTTAAAAATAAAAATAAATTACAATGGGAAAAGTTAGAGAAGGAAAGATTAGAAGAAGAAAAGTTAAAAACACCAGATCAAATTTATTATTAAGTAAAGTCACGTCATTTTAAGAATTTTTCGTAATATTTCATAACAAGAAATAAAAATTAACACTTATTTTAAAAAATCAATTTTTTTAAAATAAAAAATTATTTCTTATCTAAATAATTTATACACAATATGGTTCAATGTTAACCTCAATATTAATATTAATTTATGGTTGAAAATTTGGTTGAAAATAAAAAATGTCTGTGGATTGGGATTTTTCTTACTACTTAAAAGGCTGAAGTTTTGACCAAATAGTCTATTTACTCTAAGTTCTTCTCTGACAATGCCAAAAGTTTTAAATCTGCATGGGATGGTATTAAGAACCTTTTAAACATTAGTGCGAGAGTTAACTCATCTCCTTCATGCTTATCTTCTACCAACTCCATGATATACGACCCTATTAAAAAATTGGAATCTTTTAATTCATTCTTTGTTTCAGTTTCGGAAGATTTACAGAATAAGATCCATTTATCCAATACTGACTTTAATAAATATCTCAAAAACGAAGTATTATCGATTATTCATTCTCTTAATGACACCAACACTTTGGGAATTAACAGCATTCCAATACATATTTTTAAAGCCCTTGCAAATGATATCTCTCCTGTACTTTCTGAACTATTTAATCTGTCATTCACAACCGGTGTATTCCCTGATATTTTAAAAACTGCTTCTGTTATCCCAATTCATAAAAAAGACTCAAAACTTGAACGTAATAACTACAGACCAATTTCATTATTATCAAATATCAGCAAACTTTTAGAAAAACTTATGTATTCTCGTATTTACAACTTTTTAAATAATTCTGCTTGTTTTCATATTCGACAATTTGGGTTTCGCTCAAATCACTCCACTTCTCACGCTCTTATTAGCACTACTGAAATGATTCGTGGTGCAATTGACAGTGGTTCTTTTGCTTGTGGTGTATTCATAGATCTTCAAAAAGCTTTTGATACGGTTGATCACAACATTCTAATAAAAAAGTTAAACTACTACGGAATACGTGGTATTGCTAATCATTGGTTTTCTTCAAATATTACGGATCGCACTCAGTTTGTTTCAATTAATGGATTTGAATCCACACATAAAGTTATTAAATATGGCGTTCCACAATGTTCCGTTCTTGGACCGTTGTTGTTCTTATTATATATAAATGATTTATCTTGTTCGTTAAAAAATTCTATGATACATCATTATGCTGACGATACCAATCTTTTATATATCAACAAATCCCTTACGACTCTCTGTAAAAAAGTTAATCAAGATCTTCATCGCTTATGTAACTGGTTAAATAGTAACCGTATTTCCTTAAATGTAAATAAAACTGAATACATTATTTTTCATTCTCCTCAAAAAACTATTCATCATATTAGAATTAAAATTAACGGTAAAAAACTTTTTCCAACAAAATATATAAAGTATCTTAGAATATATCTTGATGAAAACCTATCTTAGTATGATCAACTGTATTATCTAAAAAAACTTTACTTATTATTTACCTATCTTATACTTATTTATTATTGTGTTAATAATGTTACATCTTATGTTATTATTATATCTAATTATCATCTATGATTTGTACATACAATTTATATTGTATTATAATATTCTTAATATTATTGGTACATTATTATTATTGTTATTATTTTGTATTACTATTATTATTATTATTACATATATCATTATTATTTGTTTAACAATCTTTTCATCTTTTCTCACATATTTATATATACAGATGCTGAATTTTTTTTTTTTTTTTTTTTGTTTGCTTTGTATCTTTTTTTTTTTTTTTCTATTAATTTTTTTTTTTTTTTTTTTTCGTGAACTTTTTATGTTTTTTAGGTGTCACTCCATTGACTTTTTTTAACTATATGAGTGACACCTAACCAATTTTTATTAATTTACGATGAAATTTGTAAATTTTATAGATATGGTTAAATAAAAATAAAAAAAATTGTACCATAGTTGGCATCATCAAGTTAGTATTGTGTTTGTTATTTATTAAGAAAATTTAATTGGCATTAGAAATAATATTAGTTTTAATTTTATTTTTATTTTTATTTTTTTTAGAAACGAGGAGCCTTAACTAATTCAATCGCTATGTTCTTGCTGTTTAGTCTTGGTGCAAATAAAATATTTATTTAACTCAACTTTTCGAAAAACTCATTATGCATAGTAGATTATACATTTTATATTTATTTTACTTACAGTTAAATCTTTAAGATTTAAGATTAGCAGTTCTTATTTAATGCTCTACAAACTTTTTTCTCTGTGTGGTTTATAATAAATTAAATAAAATAAAAATAGTTTTAGTTTATGTTAACTCTATTAGCACGATATACGTTTTTCTATAAGAAACACATTGAAAAGTATTTAAATAAAGGTTTTATTTAAAAATTGCTAATAAATATAAATTATTTATAAAATGTGTGTCTTGGTAAATCCATTCCACACCAACTTTTTCTATTCTAGCGACAGAAAAATAACTCTATACGTATAGAACAACTATACGTATTGTTTACTTTTAAAAAGTATGAATAAAAAAAACTCTATTTTAGCGTTGTGCGAATCGCTATTTGTCAATCGATTGGATATTAATATCTGTCTGAATATAATACTTAGAATACCCGCTTGAATCGTATAAAATAATTACCATCAGAAAAAAAATTTGAAAAACATGAGGAAATATGTGAAATAACGGATTTACTATGGCCAGTATAAAACTGGTCGCTTTATTTCAATAAATTTAAAAAAAAAACAAATAATAAAAATCTTTGTTTTGAATTAATAATTTATGGTTAATAGTTTATCAATTCTATAGAAAATCAAACGAAAAAAAAAAGGAAAGGACCTTATAACTTTTTTCTTTAATAAGTTCCTATTAATTTTTTTCAGACCATCCGCAGTTTATTAGGACTCTTGCGCCGTTAACTTTGAAGAAAATTAAAGTTTGCAACTAAAATCTTTTTTTCTTTCAAAAGAAAGTTAAAAAACACATTAAAGAGACTTTTTAATGTTTGTTTAACGCGCAGGTTCAAATGATTACTGAAGCACATTAATAACGTACGTATTTCTATCATAATATGTGCGCCACAAACTTCCAAAAGTGTGTTTTCATGTTTTCTGAAATTTATTAAAACTTCTTAAAAAATTAAAAACAAAAATCAGCGACAACTTTAAATTGCTATATTATCTTTTAAGACTGTCCCAGCCGGCACACAACGCAATTTCGACGTCCATATAAAGTCGATATAAAGTCGCGACGTCGTGAAACTTGATTTCGACCCGGTTTAGAACCAAATCTTCGAAATTGTCCAGAAATCATTGCGCCATAAAAAAGTATATAACCACGAAGTGTTAAAAGTTTTTAAGTAAGTTAAAAATATGAATTCCACAGAAATAGTTAGAAAACACAGGCAGAGAAATGCTTTTTTACAATCTGCAATAGAAATTATTACTACATTATCCGCTTCTGAAAATGATAATGTTTAAGTTCAGGGCAGTAATCCGCATGAAGTTTCTCCTGATGATTATCAACATGATACGAGTGAATTAAGTAAAACACTAAGTGATGATTATTATTCTACTAACATAATGGAAGATTCAGACTCCAATTCTGTTATCAGTGTTGAACTAGACAAAGATCCAAGCAATAAAAATGTTGAAGACGACCTACAGGCTGAACTTGCTGTTTGGAGTTCTTCAAGTATGTGTAAACGAGATTCCCTAAACAAGCTTCTTGCAATTCTTCACAAAAATGAACACCCAGAACATCCAAAAGATTCGCGAACATTGTTAAACACACCAAGGTCTATAGCTTCTTATTCTTAATGTAGTGGAGATTTTTTTCATTTAGGAATTGAACCTTGAATTAAAAGGACACTTGATAGTACAGTTGTAACTAATGAAAATACTCAAAATATTGAATTAATTGTAGGCATAGATATGATCCCTTTGTTTAAGTCTTCAAGCGTAGAATTATGGCCAATTCTTTGTCGTTTTAACGGTCTAAAACCTTTTATTGTTTCAGTATACACAGGTAACAAGAAGCCTAGTTTCATTAATGATTTTTTAAAATATTTTCTAATTGAATATCAGTTATTAAACACTGTAGGATTTCTCTATAAAAACCATAGGTACACAGTCTCTATTAAAGCATTTCTATGTGACGCACCTGCTAGAGCGTTTATTAAGTGTACCAAAAGTCATACTGGGTATTTGTGTGAGCGATGTATAATTAAAGGTGCATGGCATGATGGACGAGTTTATTTTCAAAAAAATAATTGTTCTGCAAGAAATGATCTTGATTTTAGTCTGTTAAAATATCAACATGAAAATGATGAAAATCATAATGCTAAATCTCCCCTAATTGATTATAACTTGCCTTGTGTTTCTGCAATTCAGCAAATTAATTGTGTATCAGAAAGTATGGTATCATTAAGTAATGAAATTCCTAGTGATTTTGCTCGTCAACCTCGATCTCTAAAATATGGAAAGCGATGGAAAGCAACTGAATTTAGGGAATTCCTTTTATATAGTGGTCTTGTTGTACTTCGAGGGGTTGTTAAAAAAGAAGTCTACACACATTTTCTTTATCTGTCAATAGCTATTAGAATTATGCTGAGTTCAAATGCTGAGTATTGAAATTCTCTGCTGGAATATGCTCATCATTTGCTTGTATATTTTGTTTCTACCACAAAAAATATTTATGGCAATACATTTAATACATACAATGCTCATAATCTGATTCATCTCCAAGATGACGTAGCTGTTTATCAACTACCACTTGATGCAATTTCTGCATTTGCTTTTGAGAATCACCTCTAAATTTTAAAGAAGCTTGTCCGTAATGCCACAAATCCTGTAAGTCAAATTATCAAGCGAGCACACGAGTTAGAAAGTTGTGGAGCTATGTATTCTGAAAAATTTTTGTACACTAAAATAAGTATAAAGCATAAAGATAGCTGGTTTTTACTAAAGTGTGGCAAATATGCTAATATAAAAGAAATTAATGACAACAACATTTATATGTGTGAAACCTATAGAAAAGATAGCATGGAAAGTTTCTTTCTTGAACCTTGTGATTCAAAGAATTTCAATATTGCACTTTTGCGAGAGAGAACCCTTAATCTTACACGTACATTAATTGAAAGAGATGAAGTTTTGTATAAAGTTGTTGTTATGCCATATGGTGATAATGGTCTTGTATTTATTCCCCTTGTTCACAATGTCAACTGGAAATAAAATAATATTCATTTTTGTTTCTTTAATAATTTTTTAAAAAAAAATTATTGTTTTGTTGCTTTTAATTCCACTAACTATTAATTAATAACCTTTTTTTTTTTTTTGTTTTGCAGATAATTTATTGTTTCTTTAATAATTTTTTTAAAAAAAATTATTGTTTTGTTGCTTTTAATTCCACTAACTATTAATTAATAACCTTTTTTTTTTTTTGTTTTGCAGATAATATATTTTTTTTTGGATAAAAATAAAATTGACTTTAACTTTTGCAACACTTGTATTTTGAACAATAGTTTTTTTATAGAAAAATAAGCATAGTATAAACAAGATTTTGTTAAGCTATTATAATTTTTGCCTTAGTAATTAAAATTTAGTATCTAATTATGTCTTATGCTCGTGGTGTTTGGATTGAAGATGGTATGGGAACAGAAGGTATTGTTCCATGTAACTAGATAATTGATAATAAACTGTATTGGCCCAATGGTATATCTGTGATAAGACACTTTCAGCTCCTAAGTATTCCAGATGTCTTCAAATGGAAACATTATTAATATTTGTCAACAAAGTGTGTAGGAGGTTGGTAGTTTGTCATATTCTAAAAAGCCTCATTACTTTAATAATTTAACTTATTTTATAATTTAAATAACTAACTGGTAATTTATCCTTAGTAAATTCTGAATTAAAGTTTTCAGATTTTTAATTTACAATTTTGATTTTTTTTTTTTTAATTTTCAGATGAACAAACATTTCAAGACTAAGAGTTTGTAACAACCCAGGAGGAAAAAAGTGCTTCAGAAGAATCGTTAATAGAAAGTTCTAATGAAGAAGACACGGTTAGGTTATAATATGTGAAAACTTAACTTATTGCTTTTTAATAATTTGATGTTATTAAAGTATATTTAAAAATAAATGTATATTTATAATAATAGGGGTTAGCTTAAATTATTTAAATAGCTGTCACAAATATTTATTTTTCAACTGGTTTGGTACATACTTTATTATTTTGTTTTTAAGTTGTTTATCCAACTATCTTTTACAGTTGTTGTACCCAAATTTCCAAATGTTATGTCTCTGCAATCAATGATTTCAACACCACAACTATCTGCATTTAAATCATCTTGCAGCGTTCAAAAATTGAGAACAAAACCATCTATTTACAGTGGTGACAGATTAGAATCGTCAGGTTTCAAAAGCACAAAGAAGATTGCAATACCCTGTAAGTAATACAAAGTATAGACACTACCTTAGAAAAAAAAAGAACTTCTTTTGTGATAGATTTTTCAATTTTTGACATTTCTGATTACTCTTATATGACATTTGATTTAAAAAATCTACTATTATAATTGTCATCAGCATGCTATTATATCAATTACTTGTTTAAAAATTTTTTTTTTAATGTTTTGCTTTTTTTATCTTATTTTTCTCATTTATTATTGTTTTTTTCATTTCTTAAATTGTCTCTTTATACTAATCAATAACTAAATTCTCTGGATCTTGTTCCCACTTTTTTTTATTATTTACAATTATTATTTTTGTATATCTATTTTGATTTATTTTTCCTATTCATTACCTTTAGGACGGAAACTAAATCAAACAAAACAACATGTGGTGAAGCGTAGGCATGGTTATAACTATCCTCTAACAAATGAGAGTAAGTTTCATACTGTTTTAAATGTTTAGGACGAGGGCAAGGTATATGTGGCAACCCTTTTTTTAAAAATCTTTCAGGAATATGGATGAATATAAATTAGCTTGAGTTTATGCTTTCATTAGAACAACATTATCCTAAATATAGCTAATTATATTGGTTGTTATCATTGCATTTTAGACATAATCTTTTTTTATATTATTTATATATTTTTTTTAATATATATATTTATATATATATTATTATTATATATTTATTTTTTTACCCAATGCTACACAAGCGTTACGTAATATGTATAGATCTGGTAAAAAGTTTGGATTCTCAAAATCTAACAATTACTGAGCAATAGTTGGTAAGCTATAAATTTTTCTCATAATTATTGTTAGTATAATCATTTACACTATTTTA